TGTTGGAGAACCTCCCACCTTCTTTGCTGGAGTTGTGGCAGCCTTTTTACCTTTTTTTCTGAGGGTTGATAACCTCTTCTCCACTGCTATCATCTTCTTCATCTTCTGACATTTCCTCTTCCCTGTCTTCTTCTACCTCCTTTGGAGGAGGAGCCATTTTTTGGGGGTCACCTTGATTTTTACCAGCCTTAGCGAGCTTCGCCATGATGGCGGCTTATGATGGCAGAGTGTGTGGGGGGCAGGTGGCACAGATGAGTCTTGAGGAACTCCAGCGACGTTGATGGCGGCCGTGAGCACTGAAGATCCCGGAGCGCATACGCTTGGTGGCCAGCTACAGCTCAAGACTGAGGCGAAAGCTCCTGCTATATATTTTATATCCTACTTTATAGCTGACGAGTTCAAGTTCAGTTCAAACAGATAAGTAACCTTTCGTTTGTTTTCAGGTAGCCCTCCTTTGTTGCTACTCCCTGACAATGTTCGAATTCGAAAATACAATCTGTCCTCTGAGAAGTTCTCAGACTACCTTCAAGATGAGGAACATATCCAAGCTATTGATTATGACTGGGATCCGCAGGGCATAGACCTCAGTGAGTATAAGCTTTGGCTTCCATCTCTGATAAAAATGGATTTTTAAATGAATTTTAATGTGTTGAATTTGGGGGGTATTTATTTATTTCACGATTGAATTTTGTTGAGTGGAAGAGGAAGTGACTCTTACCCAGCATGATTCCTAACCAACGTTTCCTGACTTTTCTGCAAACCTTCTCCCATTTCTGGGGATTATCCTTTCTGGATTTTAATATTTCCTTGTCCTTGCTCATGTGGATCCTGTTCTTCCCTACTCTTGTATCCTTGGGAAATTTCTATTCAGACCTTAAAGACCCAGTTCAAATGTCACCTCCTCTCTGACATCTATAATTTCTCCTGGTGGTTTATTGATTGCTTGCCCATGAGCCTGTAACATTTCATCCATGCTTTTACAAATGCAGCATACATTATTGGGTCATTAGGAAAGTCATGATGCATTCTTGCATAGAAAAACATCAAAAAAATATGTCATGACTTTCCCAACTACCAAATACATCATGTACAACAGCTAATTTTCCACATATTTTTCTCCCTTCCTCTTAACTATACACTCTTTGGAAACAGAGATTGAATCTAATCCATCTCTACATACCTAGTACTTGAACTCACATCTAGTATGGTGTATATAGTAGGTGTTTAAAAAATCTAGGTGAATGAAGGAAAAATGAGTCAGGCCTATTGTTGAACCTCTCATGGCTCTGTATGGTATCATGAGAATAGCAATGAGGTATAGTCAGAAAATTCATTTTCTATATCTATAAACTTGTCTCCTCTAAGCCCTCATCTAACAGCTTTATGACCTTAAAATGTTGTAACGTTTTTCTGGATTTCAATTTTTTTCCTTGAGAGAGAAATTTTGTTCAGAGTCTTGCTGTGTCATGATACTCCTGCTTCAGCCTCTCCATTGACTGGGACTATAGGTCTGTATAACCATATCTGGAATGATAAAGTTAGCTCTGGAACCAAACCAGGTCCTCCACGTGGCTTCCAGTCCCCCAAGTGGTAGTGTTACCAGTGTTTCAGTGTACCTGGGCCTGGATCATCAATTCTCTATTGGTTTAAAATAGTAGTAGTCTTGCTCTGCCTGCCTACCTCTGACAATTGTTTTAAAGATTAAGTGAATAGATGTGAAATGCTTTGCAAACTATCAATAACTATGCCAATGTAATGGTATTATTGTATTTTTGCACTTATTCATGCAACATAATAAGCTTTTCAAGAATGGTGTGTATCTAGGAAAGCCCAGTATATGCCTTAAAAATTATATTTTTCTCTATGCTTTTAAAATGCTTGCTGTGCGTTCTCCTTTAGCCTGCACATAAAATAGAATTTCTCCTCCACGTGGTTCCTTTACTGCCACTGATACTATGATTTTAAATTCTTAACCAGCCTGTTCCAGTTTATCTATGTATTCTGTTTTAGAAACTAGAACTTGATCTTAATGACAGTAAATAGGCTCTTGACCAAAATATACTTTAACAAATTACCATTAAATAGATATGACTAAGTAAATATCAATAAGTTATCAATCCAAGCATTTGTAGCTAATTGCTCATGTACCATAGGTTTTGAGGTTTAATCAGAGTGAACAAAAAAGATGTAAAGATGACAGTAAAAGAACCATAAAAGCACTGGAAGTTGTTATGGACATAAGAGACAAAGTGGAAGAAAAGTGTGGGAGGGGAAGAGCATAGGAAAGGAAATTTAGGGTAAAAATTAGAGAGGTAAGATATTTGTGGGACACAGATATGGTTTTTTTATCTGTTAATGATGATGTATATCCAGCCCATTCTCACTGGGCTGGACTGAGGTGTGTATCATGCTGGGTAAAGTCTCTTTATAATCTAAATGATGTATAGTGATTGAATGTACAAATGATAATAATGATAGTCAATTTTAAAAATTTTTAAGAAAGAGCACCTGATTAGAACCCCAATCTCTCCTTTGCCTGACCTCTTAACATGAAACTGACTCACCTGTCTTTCTCTGTAGGTATTGTGTATTACACCGTGCTAGGGCAGGACTCCAGGTTTGGTGCTATCAAACGTGCCTACATCCCCAACTTTGAATCCGGCAGCAATAATCTTGTGCAAGAAGTTGACCTGGGCCTGAAATATGTAATGCAGCCAGATGGATTAGCAGTGGACTGGGTTGGAAGGTAAGTTTGCCATGTTCTCTCCCTGCCTGTTCCATTTTCATGGCTTGAGTTCTGTCCTGCTTCACATGGCATGAGTTAGGCTGGGCCCATGTGTGTGTATTCTCAGCTGCTAGTGCAGGGTAATGCTCGGGCTTGCTCTAGCCCCAGAAACCTCTGCTGCTTACCCCTTCGTCATATATCATTATGTCAAAATGGTCATTTTCTGTGTTTTATGTGTGCTTGAGGAGTTGGGGAAAGCACCCAGGTCATGATTCTGTATTATGTCTGGTAGAACATTCTTGCTAATGGAGTTTTGGATTCCAGAATTAACTTTCAGTAGGGTGGAGATCATTTTATGAAGAAATGGGATGCCCTCGTAATTCTCCCATCAAAGGAGTGGAGAAGAAATATTTTTGTCTGTGGTAATTATTTTGGGTGGGCAGGAACAATCCACATTTTGTGGTTTTAGCAATGTATAGTCTCATCAGATTTGAAATTTGACTATCCTGGTTAATCTTTGGTTGAGTTAATAGAAGTATAAGCTTTGTTCTGTTCCTTTTGACCTCTAGATAGCCAAGGGAACTGAAAGCGCACATTTTGGATGATCCCTAAAGTGAGAACCTTAGTAAGGTCATCATTAGGAAATGCAAACCGATGTGGAAAAAATATTAAGTGCCTTCCTTCTCTAAGGAAGAGGCTCACGTTGGTGGAAAGTGATTATGTAAGAATCAGGGCTCAATTCATAGAGTCCCCCATGTCCTTGAAAATGAGCTAATAATGAAAGAATGTTTGAAAGGAAAGCCCAGGGGCTCACTGCCCTCATGGAGAATGGAGAGTCATTTGCAGTATAAATTCATTTTCACCTTTTAACAAGCTAGTCTGATGTTTTTAGAAGATGTGAGCATCTCTAAAGAACTTAATTGGGTCCCCATGGTGCCTGCAGGCTAGCAGGAGACTCATTTCAGCATTTTCTGTCAGGAAATTGGGCCTCAGTGAACTGTGTCTGGAGCTAGGCACTGGAAACCCTAGACATCAACACTTCTGAAAGTCAACCAGGCAATGGCAGGTTTGTCTTCCTTTTCCAAGTGTTATCGCTTTCTCAGCCTTAATGAATGAGAGAGTTAAGAAACTGATGGAGCTCTGCTCATGAAAGACCTGCACCCTTAGAAGTGGAAATAAGGGCAGGATGGCCTTGTTGAGTTTGTTTTTTATGAAAGGCTGTTTTCATTCATCTTTGGAACTGGTGCCAGATTCCTACTGATTCCAATGGAGCTCCTTGCTAAGGAGGAAATAAACTCACAGGTAGCCAGAATGAAGGGACCAGCCCAACAGTGAACTATGTCTAGAAACACAATTCTCAGAATAACACCAGATAGAAGATCAGCTGACTGCCATGTCTGCTATTTTTATTGATCCTGGCTGTTTGAGCTGGTTGGGGAGAAGTCCCCTCCCTCCATGTAATCCTCCAAAGATATCCCTTTGGCTGAAGAGTTTGGGGCA